ACCCGCGAAGCGCGACGCTGTCGTCAAAGTGTTACAAGTATGGAAAGGGAAAGGATTGCGAGGAGAGTAGGATTGTGACAGCTTGGCTGCGCAGATGTCATGGTGTTTAATTCTCCGGACACCGACGAACTTAAAGGCGTGGGTCGTGTGGAGCCATATGCAGCAATACCCAGCCAGGGATGGGTTCTCGAAACTCCGTCTCTGGAATTACCCGAAAGGAAAGACAAGAAAAGTAGAATGTTCAGAGAAAGCAGAAGTTTTTAAACTCGCCTAACTTCTTGATATTTGAAGCATCCGATTTTTCCTGCAATAACAATGAATTGTTTAGAATGCGCACTCTTACTGCTGCATCCAAGTGATGCCGCATACACACTGAAAAGTTCAATTTTATGAAATGTTGTTCAGATTTAGTGAAAACGACAAAAAAAAAGCTTGCCAGTCACCTGCTATGAAGTCGAGCATTGAGTCGCGCATGGGTTTTTCACCACTTCTTTGTGAAAGCGCCTCAGATGACGATTATAATTGAACATCTTATTCGTACAGAAGGAGCATAGAGGGCACATCAGAGATCCGGACGTATTAGATTCTCTTAGTACATGTTTAGTCCTTAGGCCATGCCTGAAAACTAGCGACAGTAAGACACTGGAACACACCTTGAGACCTTCTTGTTAAATGCAAAATATTGCGCATTTGGCAACTACGGAAGGGTACACATACCACTTTTCTAGTAGCAATGAACGCTTGTTATGAAAAATTGATTCTTGAAAAGAGTTGTAAGGAGAGGAAATTTCTTTAGAAAGCCGTGAACGATTCATTACAGAAACAAACCTGATTCAGGGAAAACAAAACTTCTACATAAGGTAGTTGAAAACAAATGTTTGAGGGACTAGCTGCATTCAATATACGGCGACTCGAAACAAAAATGTAACGCCGACCAAACAACTAATCGCGGAAGGGCTTTGCAAATCCTAATTCATACTTTTCATTTCAACATTTAAAAGATTTCATTACCTATAGAGTGGCTTTCCGGTTGTTGGCCGAAAACCCGCAAGTTGCACATATGAAACTTTTTTCCAGTGCTAACTCCATTGTCCACATGTGACGTAGTTGACAGAAGAGATTTTCCGCCTCCTACGATGGTCGACAGCAGCTGCTCATCGATATGTTCCTCTCTACCGCCACTCTCTTCGATACTTCCTTGACCACTCGCGGTATTTGGAGCATTATTTGACGCTGAATCCAACTGAAACAAACACATAGCACGTCTTACAAAATCGAAGCACAGCAGATTCCAAACCTCTGACTCCTCTAGAGGAACTGTCGACAGTTTCCGTTTACTGTCTACTGAAAATGTAGTGATTGAAAATAGCACGTTTAATTAATTTTTGAGCAACACTAGCAAAGTTAGCGCACTTATTCATCACACATACCTTCTCTATTGGAAAGTTCGTCCCAAGGGAAATCAGTGTCCTTCCTCTCAAAATGTTGTTTCAAAAACCCCGTTGAGGATGTTTCAAAATTAAACGACGAAGTCGAGGAGTCGTGGAAAGGATTGGCCGAGGTCCAGTCACCGGCGAAGCGCTCCTGTAAAAAGTCAATTTTGAAGAGTGCATAAAATCAGTAACTTGCGCGTATCGCGCAAATTCGATGTGCCGAAGAGGGGTAAATTTTCAGACTTCATCACTGATTTTCAAAAACAGCTCGACTATATTGCTAAGGATTAGTCGTTGATAGGGTTTAATACCGTTCGCACCTCCACTTAATAGGCTAACAAATAGAGTTTCCGACGAAGCGTCAACGACAAAAACACCTCCGTCCTCATTGTCGGATGAGGTCCTGCATTTGGTCAGATCATCCCTGATTTAATCTCCGCGATCGAATGCTGGCTCAAGCCTAATCGGAAACTTAAATGTATTATGGGCCCTTCGAACGCGGTCGAACTTCCTTCGCAAGGCGAATGACATTGAAATTCAAGACTTTATACCGTAATTACGGAATTTCAGAACTGTACAATAAGCTTTTGGAGTAATTACATCAGAAATACGAGCATTTCTCGCTGGCAAGGAATGAGACTGGACAATATCAGGCTCGAGCACTTCAAACTGTGGGTAAAAATCAGAACAACCGCTTTGTTTCGACAGTACCCACCAACAACACACTCAATGACCAGCGGCAATCAAGTTGAACACAGCTCTAACTGGTGTGAGACCGTTCAACAGAAAGAAATGCAAACACTCCCAGTCCTCAGGTTTCCTATTAACTCATGCCGATTCCAGCTTCTACTTGCTGCTAACCCCTCCCTAAGCAAAACTGGCTTGCAGCGATGAGATAAGAACTATGAAATGAGACGCACCACAATCATCTTCTCAGCTTCCCAAGCTAGAGTGAGCTCGATTTCTCTCTCGAACCGACGGCGAACGCTTGCATCTCGCATCGCACTGACCGTCTCCGCCACCGCTGCTGAAATTGATGGTCTCCAGCTTTTTATACAAAAATAGCACAACCAAAGGATGACCAAAAAAGGAGAAAGAATATGCGTACTTGTGAATATTCCTATTGTGCAACCAAGAGCCCCTGTATACATCATGACCGTGATGTATCGCTGAGGCAACTGGGACCGCAATGCGTTTTTTGTAATGATAGAGATGATAAAAACAGCATTGGCAAGGCAAAGGAGGATGTCCTTATGTCAAGTGGTTTTCATTGCATCCCATATCAGCTATATTTTCAGGAGTGTAGTTTTCCCCTTCTCGTGGTATGGTCCTCATTGCTTGCCCTTCCCTTGAATAGTACGGCAGGGATATCAGCAGCCTTTTGGATTAAGTACAGTTTGTGTGGGCTGTGCTCGTCCACCGGTGGGGATCTGGGCACTGGGCGACGGACTTTTGGTGTGTCCGGGGTTGCACGCGGCGAATCACGCGGCGGGCTGCGCGGCGATCCAAGGAAATTCCAACAAGTCACGTGTTGCAGATCGCGATAGATCGCACAAGCTTCTGCCTTAGAGAGAAGTTCCGCGGAGTATCGTGAAATGCATCGGCCACTGGGGAGAAATGCAGCGGTGTCAGTGAGAAGATTACAGCGAAAGGAATGAAAGAGAGAAACTTCATAGAAATGTCACTATTATCATATTATAAATATGAATAAGAAGCACTAAAAATGGAGTCATTTAGTGAGATGTTATTTATTGTCAACTCTATATCTTTGCTAATCGCGGCGCTCCTGTCCTTGGGGAGAACTTTCAAAACAGGGCCAATGGAAGGTGACACTAGAACTAAGCTCATGAGAAGGGAAATACGCTCGGGAGAACAGAAATTGCTCACATCCTCCACGAGAAACTCTTTCCCTCAGGCTTAGTCCCAAACAATAATTGGTTGAATCTCTCCGCTCATGGGATTCCCCCCTTAACAACAAGCGCCAGCAACCTAAGCGCCCTGATTGCTATAACAGCCTTTTGCTATTCCTTTTCTTCTCTTCCTGCCGCTGCCTTTGAATATCCACGCGTTGGAATGTAATTCGAAGCAGAACCTTGTGGATTCTATCCGCGATCTGCACACGTTCTGACGTGTTGAATTCCACCGCAGAAGCCCGCGAAGACTTGCCTCGTCCGGATCGCCGCGCAGCCCGCCGCGCGATTCGCCGCGTGCAACCCCGGACGCACCAAAAGTCCGCACCCTGGGCACTTACCTAGCTTGCCGATTGTTTTTTATTTCTCGGATGCTTTGAGTTCAGTCATCTTTTTTTCTCGTCCCTTAACCCTCCTCTATGTCTGTATCGTTCTCGACTTTTCTCACATGCTGTGGCACGTTCTCTAGCGTGAGAAATAAAGTGAAATACAATAAATAAATAAACATAAATAAACAAATGAAATAAATAAATAATAAATAAATAGATGATCGGCCTATCTGCAGTCGGATTATCGTGTAAAGCTGTTCCAGACCTGGAGAAGCATGGTAAAAATGTTCACAGTGTTGGGCGCCATACCTTTGGAAAGTAAATATGGTAAATTAGCCCTCAGTTTGAGATTATGTGTGTAACAACACGCGTGATCTCGCTGGCACTGATCACTGACTTCATCTGAAACTCGGTCATCGCGTAGTCGCAAATGTTGTGAGCACCCATCCTTTTAACTCCTCGACAAAACCATCAATCGAGAAGTTGCAGAGTGTCCTGCACAATTGTTCCTGTTTCGCAGCCCAATCGCGCTTTCAAACGTACAGGTAACCACGTTCATCAGCAACCAACTGAGCCCTTGGTGTTTCCTATGAAAAGCATTGCTTATGGGATGTTACTACGCGAACTGCTTCACAATCATGCATGCAGTAAAAAAATCTCCAGGCTAGTGGAGAGTTGACCACTGGGGATAGTACGAGTGGATGCATATCGTGCAATAATAGTTGCAGTGTGCAAGACCTTGGCTCCTGCACATTTCAAAGGTACAGCATTGATTGCTATCATAACTTTTCGAAAACTATAAAATGACTGTATACGAAAATGCGCAAAAATCTATTACCTAAAGCGTCCTCGTGGTCGTCACTACTGAGGGCATCAAATTGCAATCGCAAAATTTGAAGCTGCTCTAAGAAAGCCTCCATAAGAGACGAGCTCTCCTGATGAAAATAAAATTTTCTCTACTTTTATAATGTGCCCACACAAATATGAGTTACTATTACTTTTAAAATAAGTTGAGAATGCGAACAGATCCAGATATATATTTATTATGTAATTATGTGCGTGAATTATACCGAAATATCTTAATTTAAATCACCAGGCTTAATAAAGTTACAACTTTCTTTACATACAATAAGATTAAACAATGTACAAGCGATTATTAATAATATGAAATCATGGCAAACATCACCAGTATGAGCTGGAATGCATTTCTTACAACAGTGAATCCGACAGCTTCAGCTCTGACCTACAGCATCACAATTTTCATAAAATTAAAGCTGCCACAACTGCAAACAAACTGGACGCTAATGACTAATTGGCCTCCACATCAACTACTTCAAGTCATCTTCATCACCCCCATCGTCTGGCCTTTCAGTTTCGCCGGTTCCTTCTGGTGCATGAAGTTTCTTCATTAGTCGGAGATACTGGAAACATTCAGTATGCAAATATTATATTTTGTGATTTCTAACCTAAGAATAGACCTACCTCATTGTCCATACTCCGTAGTACGCCATCCTTCAGAATATTTTGGAACTGCTCATCGTCTCCACTCTCCCATCCACCAATCAACTGTCGACACGCCCTTGCGTCATCTGTGAACTCGAATTCAGCGCACTGTCTTTAAAAGTTATGTTCATAAAACTGATACTCTAGCGACAATTCGAACAAAATGGTTGTGCTCACTCTACTGTCCACTGATAATATTTTGCAGCTGCCACCGAGTCACCCAGAGCTAACTGCACGAGAACCAAAGCAATTGCGAGCTGACCCACACGTCCTGACTCCTAAAATTCTCCAACACCATTCAATAAGCTTCGAAGACCATTTTTTCTTCACTAATTCTCTCGCCAGCGATACCATTCAAGGTAAAGTTTCGTAATAGAACTTACTCTAACTTCGACGTACTTTTCTATTTCATCTCGAATAGCCTTTGCTGCTTCACTATAACGTTCTAGTCGAAGATTAAGACGTGTGATCTGGCTTAGGAATTCTCCTGCTAACTTAGAACGATCAGATTGCTGTACCAACGCGAGTCCTTTTTCATATAACTGGAACCATAAATCCAATTTATATAAATAGATCTAATGGGAAGAACTTGAACGCAATTCAAAGACTAAACACATAAGAATAATAGAGAACGTCACACCTTTATAGCTTTTTCTGGCTCCTGAAGTCTACCAACGGACCTGTGCGGCCTTCTCACACCGACATTGGCATGCTGTCATCGAGGCTTCCTGATTCTGCATATTGATCAATCGCCTTCTCGAACAATGGGTAGGCCCCTGCACTATCACCGGCATCTCTTAACAACATTGCTGCACCTTCACGAGCTCTGAAAAAAGGGATGAAAACATAACACGACGATTCGAAACAGAACAACACTGAAAAAGTTCACTGTAATGTAAAATGATTTTTCACTCACTTGGCCGCGTGAAATACGATTTCCTAGTTGTTCGTAATGACCAAGCAGCACTTATTAACGCCTTAGCTGCCTTATTCGCATCTCCAGCATTTCGATAGCACACTGAAGCACGCTCCAAAGCGGTTGCAGCTCCATCGTAATCTGGTTTCAGTTTCAACTTTAACATCGATGTCTTCAAGCTGAAAAAACTGAGTCAATACTAAAGGAATATACTACACTTAACTAGAGTGAAGTATAAGAGATATTTGTCCGCAACATAGCACACATGTAATTGTCGGATAATGAAAATCCTTGAAAAGAACAATTCACGAAACCACAAAAGTTGTTCAATAACTGCAAAGCATTCGGACAAAAAAAAAAAAACATTGAAGCTGCTTGAGTGTAGATTCTGGAGAGAGAAATCTTACCAACAACTCAAAGAGAACAAAAAATTTCCAGTAAAAATGCATCATTTTGCAAGCGTTAAAGAAAGGCTGGGCTTCAAAGGATGTGTATCTTCTTTCAAGAGTGACGACAGCCAACATCCGAAGCAAAATACAACCACTACCAAATCCTAGCCCATTGATAGCAGATATCAGAGGTAACTGAACTATAAGGCGTAACCCTCCTTTTCAAGGCTTGAAGTAGAACGAGGAATAAACAATTAGCGTTTCCGAATGGAATCTCTCCAACAAAATAATGCCAGCAGTTCCTTTTTTCAACGGGAGCCGGAAGATTTCATTTTCCAATTTCGGAATAAATACTAATCGCAATGACTCACCACTCCGCGCAGCTTTCCGCTCGCAATCTGCGGCTTCGCTTAGACGTGCTGAATTCGACATTTGCTTCCAGCAACAAAATCAAAATCTGCAATCACTACCGACTTCAGCATATTCCAAGCCACGATCCAGCACATGATCAAGTAATTCAGTAACAGTCGCGTCACGCCGATATCACAAAAAATGTTCGCGACAACATCGACACGTTGAAATTCCGAGGCAAGGAGATGAAGTTATTGAAGGACTTGACGAAGAGCGAAAATCAACCTTACCTAACTCGCATTCAATCGAACAAAGGTTGTATGTTCGGGTAGCACTCAATCAAAGGGCGTGCTCGATCTGGTAATCGCACCACTTCTTTTGTTGCAGACAGTATTCCCCAACACCGTGAACCTACAGCCCTTGCTCATCATTGACTTCTATCAATTACACAACAACCCATAGCAACAAAAATGTTATTAGCGACGCTGCTGTATCCCTCCCCCTACGATTGCACTGAAAAAGAAAATTTATTAAGAAAAAAAATGAAAACTAACAGAGTTCTTAAGAAGCAAATCTAGATCAATTCCCAATTCCACGACAATAATCAATTCCGGCAACGAACGAATAATGATATGAGATCAAGTAGGGCTTCTTTTCATGAGTTTTGATGATGAAGGAACTTGTGGCGATTGCAGACGCAAAGTATTTGAGACGCTGCAGATAAAATCAGCTGTATCCAAGTACTTGTTCGACTCACTGATTTACAATCTTCGAACAAATTACCAACAGCAAGAAAAAAACGAGATTTATCGACCATTGAAAAAGTCTGTAGAGAATCACTAGAGTGAAGAAATGACATCCACGAGTTTCGAAATTAAATATTAAATCTTCCAGTATAAAAAAGTGAGACAGACAAGGTTCTTGTATGATCTGCAGTTGAAGAAGATAATAAGAAGGCAGAATGCATGCCTAAGAGATCGGTTGAGTGGGCACCGGCCAAGCAAGACCGTAACTGTAGGGCGTACAAATGATAGAAGTGGATGTTGAGATCGAAGAGGAAAAACTCTAAGGAGGTGTCCCCACCCTACGCTCCTGTGCTTCATTGGTCACACGTTCTTTCACAATTCTGCTTGTATGCACTGTTTTTTCATCCCCAAACATACTGAAAAAAAACGAAAAGCGGGACTAAGTGAATCCTTCAAAAACAAATTCTTGAAACAACAGCAGACCTGATGAGCCTTGTTCCAACTAGTGAATCTGCCTTCGCATCCCTCTTAAGCACTTGTAGTTTGCATTAAGCTGTGCAAAAGAATTTCCTGAAGAGTTTCCGGAACCTGCAAGCATGGGAATAATGACACTGCGACCTTGAGTAGAAATCATTTCAACAAGGAAACTGTTAGTAACTCACGGACACAGACGATCTTAAGCTACGGTAGCACAGGTCGTGATTACAACAAACGAAGGCA